CATTCATAAAAACACAAAGTAGAATGGAAGTTTCCAGGGGTAGAGGGGAAGGGGAAATAGAAGATCATGATTCTCAGGGGACAGAGAGATCCAGTTTTGTAAATGAAAAAGTCCTAGAGACCTGTTATATAATAATGTGGATATACTCAGTACAAGTATATGTATCAATAGTGAGGAAAAAAGACTCTGGGACTAGCTGTTGTTACTCTCAGTAGCCTCTGCTTCTCTATGATTTCACCATCATCATTTATTAGTTGGCTCAGGTGACTTTTACCTCTCTTCCCTTAATCATAACATCTTCCTTAATTTAAGATGTTATCAGTTCAGTGTAAAACAAAACCTCTTACAGATTTTAGGTCATAGACTCCTTTAACTCCTTTAACCTCTTTCTTGGGAAACAAACAAAACAGTATGGAGATACTGCTCTGAACAAATTTTTTTCTTTCTTTCTTTCTTTTTTTTTTTTTTTGAGACAAAGACTTGTTATATATCCCAGATTTATTTTCAATCTTGTGATCTGCCTCTTTTAGCCACCCAAATGCTGGAATTGTAGATGTATATCACCATACCCAGCTCTGTAAAAGTTTTGATAACAGACTTGAAAAGATTTGCAGGAGAAATTATAAGGAGAAAATTCTACAAGTTGTATATGTCTCTAAAAGTTTTAAATGAACTATTACATACTTTTGAAATTAAAACTTGGAGGATGTGAATATCTTACTCAGATTAGCTAGATATATCCAAATATCCATAATTGTTATTTTTAAGCTGCCATTTCTGAGATTTTCTGTACAATATTTTTGGGTGTTTAGTGTTTGTGGCTAGAATATATAATATAATTATTTAATATTTTCCCCATTAGAAAGCTTAAAGCCAAGGGTTGGCGGCTCATGCTTGTAATCCTGTCTCCTCTGGAGGCTGAGATATGATGATCACAGTTTGAATCTAGCCTGAGCAGGAAAAGTCCATGAGAATTTCACACCAGCAAAAAGCCCAAAGCGGAACTGTGGTTCAAGTGGTAGAATCTTGAGGGAAAAACAAAAACACAAGCTAAGTGACAAGCATTTAGACCTTGAGTTCAAGCCCTAGTACAGATACCACAAAAAGCTTGAGGTCACTTTCTAGTTTGTGTATTTTGGTTAAAGAAGTAAGAGGATGAGAGTTCTGGAACACCTAGAAACAATGATAGACTTCTAAACATTTCTAGTATGCAGAGACAAAAGCCCAAAATCGTTGGCAGGGAGTTGCCAAGAGCAGTGTACCACCTAAAGTCACCCTGAGCCAGACTTCATTCCACCTTACTGTCCTGTTGAAACCTGCTTCCAAGGTCATGTGATTTAGAAAGATAAGTAAAGGTCCAAAGTGACTACCAACCACAAGTATGACTAGATGCTGAAACCCTTTGTACCAGAACTGTGCTTTGTAACATAATAGGGGAAACTTTTAAACCTGTGTTTAACTTAAAGAGCTTTACTTGGCAGTATCCCTAGTTTCATTGCATTGCTTCACTTGAGTTACAGGGAAATATTTTAAGTCTTTTATAGGAAAGATTAATTTAGATTAAAATCTTGAGAAGCTGATGTAAAGGTATGTCTCATGATACTGTAAACTGAGATAGAACAGATAATAAGCTTAGGTAGAGAATCCTTTGAAATGTCCTAGATCGAAACATTTCTAAGAAGCAAAAGGGGTTTTTTCCTTCCTTAGTATTCATTCATATTGTTATCTAGAATTGGAACCAAGCCCCATTCTTTTTTTTTAATTGTAAAGATAGTGTACAGAGGGGTTACAGTTACATGAGTAAGGTAATGAGTACATTTCCTATCAAGCATTGTTACCAACCCTCCTTTGTTTTTCCCCTACTATCACTTCCCTACCCAACTCCCCCCCCCCACCTCCAAGTTGTAAAGTTCATTTTCAACATAATGTCTTGTACATCTCATTGCTACAATGGATAAAGCTATATCCTTGTTTCAGCATTTTGTTATTTCCCTTCCCTTCCCCAAATTAGAAAAATGTATATACCAGATGCAGGGCACCAGAATCAAATACAGTGACAACAGGGATTATACCATTGAGGGAAGAACATACAAAAAAAAAAAATCACATAGTACATTAAAAACAACAGCAACAAAGAAAAAAAACCTCTTGTCCATATCTTGGAGTTCATTTTGCTTAGCATCATCTTAATGGTCATATGTACATAGCTTTTGACCTTTTCTGTTTGTCTGGTAAGATTATCCTAGACAAATAGTAGTTATTGCAGATAAGGGAAACCATGGGACCTATGTTTCTTGGGGTCTGCCAAGCCCCATTCTTACGTGTGACTAAAATTCAGAATGATAATTCTTACTTAGAACTAATTTATCTTCTAGGCATAAAACTTGAAATCAGTGTTAGTGCCTTCATGTGGATTCAGACTGCTTAACCTGTGCTTGGAGTGATATTAACAAAGTCACTTTAATTTATTCTAGCATTTAAGCAAAGAACAACTAGACCCATAGTCTAAGTGCCAAAATAACACAACTAATAATAGCCCAAGGAGGAAAACCTATGCAGCTATTAAAAATCACATTTCATGAAATAGTTAAAGTGTTGAAGACATGTAGATGAGAAAATATTCACAAAAAACTGGAAACTTTTTTTAAAAACCACAAAATAAAATGTATAAAGTTATCATTTTTACCTAAATATACATTTTAGTTATCTGTACAAATATAGTAATATATATGATTTTTTAAGATGAAAGAGACCTATAAAATTCTTACTTATCAGTGAAGTTTTCTCTGTTCTCTTAAGCAGTAAGCTTTTGAATGATTTTCTTTTACTCCTGATTTACAGGTTTTTGCTGTAGGCTTGTATGTATTCATTTTATCAGTTTTATAATTAAGAAAATACAGAGTCTTTGCTATCTAAATACATACACAGAAGCAACACACACTTGTTTGACCCTTGATTCAGGTTTTTTATAAATTCAGATAGGACTTTAGTAATTGAGATTTAAATTATTTTTATATTGCTAATTGTCAGCTTAAATTGTTTGAGCACTGTGGCACGAAGCAAGCAGATTCTTATCTTCTTGGTGTGCTTAGTGTATAAGAAGCTAGAGATGATGAGCCAGCATGACATTACTTTAAGTTAGTCACACTTTTTTTTTTTTAAATCCAGTGCTTACAACATGTGTGCTTATGTTTCCAATAACGATGTATTTGCCACAGCAGCAGATGATTTTTTTTTATTCTGTGCTTCATTTTCACACTCTAGTTTGCTCATTTCCAGTTGTTGGACCTGCACTGGTTCCCTGGCCCATGCAGTTCTCCTTCAGGGTATTCATATCGGGCATGAATGGGTTTCTTTTGAAGGAAACCCTTATCAGCTCAGGATGCCCATGGAGCAGGTCTCAAGATTCTCATACACCTGTGCCATGTTATCATCGCATGATGTTGTTTTAGCTCTTGGTTCACATGGACTTTAGCGTAGTGGCTGCATTTTCTTCCAGTTGTTTATGAATCTGTTTCCCCCAGGAAACAGGACGCCTATCATGGCAGTGATCACCCTAATAATTACCATCTGTTCAGTGTTCGCCAGACAATGCACTTCTGCTCAGCATACATTGCTCCATTTAAACTCTGGTAACTAGGAAAAGTAAACGCTGTCTTCTCCCATTGATTGATGAGGAAAACCAAAGCTGCAGTTTTAAACAAGCTAGGACCTGAAACAGAGAGAACCAAAGGAGTGAACCAGTAAGGAAACACTATGTTGTTCTTGGTAAACTGGTTTACTGGTGCATCTCATGAACATGTTTTTTTCTCACAGTCTCTTCTGCCCTGGATATCCAGTTATTTTTCTTGTATGAAGAAAATAGGTTTATTCTCTCCTGCCCACCTCCTCATATATACCATTTTCACAATTTTGGGAGGGAAGAAAGTCACTCCTAGTAATTCTGAATTTTAGAGGGCCATGATGTCACAGGCGATGATGTCACGGTCAGTATTTTAAGTTCCTCCTTTCAGAGATTATTTCTGAGTTTTACATTTTGTGTCTTAATTTTTGAGGCCTAAAATTAGAAAAGTACCTGACAGTGGTTTATTTTCCTTGTATCCTCCTCTTTGATGCCTACTTAATGTATAATACCAACAGTAGCTATCATTTATTTCTGACTGCTATCCTAAATGTTTCATAAATAAAAATTTTATGGAGTAAGTTTTGTTCTTTTCCCATTTTTACAGAAGAAAACACTGAGGCTTGGAGAAGTGAGAAGTGGCTTGCTTTGTTTTACACACTTACTTCCCTGATTTAATAAAGAAATGCCTTAATAATCTGAATCCAGTTTTTCTAAATTCCAGTTTGAATCAAGAATGTATCTCTTGACTGGACCCAAGGTACAGGAGGTAGAGAATCATAGCAAGGCTCAAGAGCAAGGCTCCTGAGGTTGGCCCTCTCCCCAGTACCATTAAAAAATAAATAACAAATAATTTGTTTCATTATTGAACCTACTTCTAAATATCAGCTTCTTGCACTACTAATGGGGTGGATTAAATGAGTCACTGAGCAAAAGCTGCTTAAAATGGGGCTTGACTCATAGGGATTGCTCAGTATTAGGCACCATAAAAACAAATGATCACTGTTAATAATAATCATATTCACAAGATTACATATTAAAACAATATAAAAGTATATGAAGAAATGCATGTCCCTCTGGTCTCTTTTTATTTCCTCTCCCCAGCATTAACCATCACGAACAATTTGGTAAATGTCATTCCAGAATATTTCCTGTGCATTGAAAAGAACTTTAAATTAACCTTTCATTAATAAAACCAAGCTGAGAGTGAAAAACTTTTATAGTGCTATGAGAGTGGGAGACCTGTATTTAATTAGTACTTAGCAACTTTGCAGAGTACTGAGGATTCAGCAACGATTATGAACTTGAGTCCAGTTGAAATTGTTTTGAGTATTTACTAATTTATTACTGTTTTGTTTATTTTTATTATTTTATTTAGGATATGATGTTTCAGCTTCTCCGAGGTCTGGACTTTCTCCATTCTCACCGAGTTGTGCATCGTGATCTGAAGCCTCAGAACATTCTGGTGACCAGCAATGGACAAATAAAGCTAGCCGACTTTGGCCTTGCCCGAATCTATAGTTTTCAGATGGCTCTTACCTCAGTGGTGAGTAAGACAGTGCTGTCCTTTTGTTAAACTCATTTTTTCCTGTTTTTGGATGACAAACTGCCCCTTTTCCGGCTCCTAATGATATTACTGGCTTCAGATAGTAATAGTCTGAATGTCCTTGCACATTTTTATATAGCAGTGGATAAGAGGAAAGCATTCTGCTTTCAGATGCAGATGCATCTGGGCTGGGTTTGTTGTGGACAGGACTCATTGCAGAAATAGCCTGTTGCATCTTAACCAGTAGAAGGGAATCAGTGACAAGTTTCAAAATGCTTTGCCATAACTACTGTTTTCAGAGTTGGAACATATGGTAGGTGAAAATGCACAGCTCAGTCAGGGTAGGGCTAGGAACATTGATCTGCCTACATTACCCAGATGAAGCTGTGGTCCCAACTGTAAAGAAGGAATTAAATTGACAATGAACTTATATAACCCTTAAATAGGTAGCACTGACATTTGGGTTCAAGATTGAACCCATAGGTAGCACTGCCATTTGGATTCAAGATTGAACCCAACAGCCCTGTTTCAACAAAGAATGACAGTAACAACATCCTGTTCGTTGTCTTATTCCAAACCATAGTAGCTAATGACTTCGGTTAGCTCCTGTGTCTCCTTTATCTTTCACTGTGTCTGAGAATATTTGTGAAATTCTGCACCCCAGCTATAAAAAGAGCAATCTGAAAGTAGGTATTAATTACTCTTTTTTTCAAGTTTTATTTTATTTACAGTGAGTTCATGCACTGATACAAAAAGGCAACCAGAGTCCTTTTGCTATGTTACTTTTTTTTTTTTTTGAATATTTGAGTAGTTGTGCAAAGGGGCTACCATACTTCTTTTTTTCAAAGTAGGAAGTTGATGCATTGAATCCCATTGACTGGTGAAGACTATGGAGATGTTGCCTTCAAAACACCTTGAGCCCAAAAAAAAAGAATCTTGAGCCTTGAAGAGAGTCTCAAATGAGGGGCAGCACTGGCCTGGGTAGGGGGTATTGTTGAGCAGTGCATGGTGATCTCACAGTGACAATGATGCAGTGACCACGTCTGGCATTTCCTGTCTATGCTGTAAGGTGGCTAACATTCTGCATAACAAAAAATTGTCTCTTCACATTTTAGTTACGAGGTGATGGCACAGTTCAAGTGGTAAAACACCAGCTGTGGGTAAGAGAACTTAAGGGCCTGAGTTCAAACTCTGGCACCAGAAAAAATTTTTAAAAAGTACCCAAATTCCAGTCATGCTTCAGCTGAGAAGTAAAAATTCAGGAGACAAGTTAGAAATTCTATGAGATAAGTAACTGGTGGGGCCATACATTCTGTTATCCCTGTCCTTCTGTCCTTCTCCGTATCCCTAACCAAAGTAGAAATGCTACAGCCAACACAAGGAAAGCTCTTCACATTCTCAACATCTTAGACTTTACCCAGGCATCAGGATTTCTCCAGAGGGGTTTGTGTTGCTATTGTTGAAAGATAAATCCTTACCCTTTTCCTCTTTGCCCAGCATGCACCAGTACTTTCTAAGGCACAAGTCAATGTTTAAAGGATCAGCCTGAGCTTTGGGTGGAGTGAAGCAAACCCTTGTGTTCTTACATAATCACAGGAGAAAGGGCTGAGTCTGTGTGTTTCCCCAGTGGGAAGGGTGAGGTAGGCTTTGGGCTTCCCTAGGAAGTTATTGCTGCATGTTGTTTTGGGGCCCTGGGGAGAAGCTTGAATAGGCTTTGTGATCCAGGAGAGTGGAGGGGGAAGGGGATGAAGGAACTGGTCTCTTTGATTACATTAATTTTAAGAGGATAAGCTATCACTGAGCTGGATACCTTATTTTAATCCTCATGCCCAAGAAGGCACTAATAACCGTAAATAAAAACAGGAAACCTACGGGTTATTTTTATTATTTTTTTTCTGGTTAAACTTGAAAAATGATAGCCCAGCCTGTGAGCAACATCAGTTAACATTCCCATTCTTGCTGAAAGTTGGAATGTTCTAACAGGAAAATTAAAAACAATTATTTCAGCTTCAGAGAAAAAGGAAAGGCAAATATCAATACATGATTTTTCTGGATCTAATCTGTACTGTGTGTTCTATATTTCCTATGGTGATGTTAAGTAAAAGATGTTCACAGCTGGGAAAGACTTTATTTGAATACGAGTGATAGTCATAATTTCATGATAGTAATAAATAAGTATCTGTCCTATAGGGTACTGCATGTTTTAAATTTTATGTGTTTTCTTTTTCTCCTGAAAGGAAAAAAATCCATTTAATATAGTAATGCTTTGATTTACACACATGCAAAAACTTAGAACGGCAGTTGTTTGGACTGAACTGGAATGTATTTTTAGTGTCTCTTGAAGAGACTACACTCCACTTCCTGAAAATACACATTTTTCAGTAGCTTATGTCATACAGGAACTGGGAATTAACTTCATCTGTGGAATGGCAGAAGAATCACAAGTTAACTGACATCTCAACTACACTGAGAAAGGATCCTTGCTCTCAAAGCCTGACTCAAAGTTCCCTTTCTAGTCCTTCATGCAGGAATCAATTCCTCTTTCCTGCCTCCAAGTTTCTAGAATAATGTTTTTGATAATATTGCTTTCTGTTTTGTCTGTAGTTACTTTAGCATTGTATTTACAAGCTGTAAGTCACTTGAAGCCATTTACTGGCATCTTATTCAGCCTTATTTATTTTGATAAGCCTTTAGGAAATAATTTAATCAATAAATTGACACTGTAGGAATAAGTCACTGAGTTATAATAAAAAAATAGAGAGTTACATATACATTCAACTGTCTCATATTCCTGCATAGCTACCTGGTAATACCAAGCTGAAGGAATTATTAAAACATACACCTTCAACGGTTAGCCCATTAAGTACCATCATGCTGATGGATTATTTGGCAGGTGTCTGTTCAAGGTCATGAACATTAGGCTACATGCTGTAACTTTGTCTCATGTGAGACTGTGAACTTAAGTTCTGTGCCTTATACTTAGAGCAGTAGTCTTCTCTGCTGCCTCCTGAATACATGAACTGTGGGAAGTGAACTTCCTTTCTTGAACAGAAAGCCATAGACACACAGAAATGTGACATGTTGTAATTCTACTTCTTATTTCAAGACATGTTTAATCCACTGAGTTTTGGTATAAAAGAAATTTTATATTCTTCAAAGATAATTAGCATTCTCCCAATGAAACAATGCATGAGTTATTAGACAACTTATTTCTATCAATCTATGTAAATATATGTATATGTAATACATGATTTTTCTACTTGGATTATTGGTACTAGTTTGTATGCTTAGTGTCTTTCTGAATGTTCTCAGATACAAGCTAACCCTTTGAGGGGCAGGTGCAAGTGTTTATACCCCTGATGTATCACCTAGCTGGAATATGTTCTACATCACCATTCCCAGACAGGGGAGTTTTTCAATCATCTTAGTATATAATCCTTTACATTCCAATATGTTCTATTTTATATGTGTATGCTAGTCCTGGGGCTTGAACTCAGGGCCTGGGCACTGTCCCTGAGCAGGAATAGATTCCTGCACGAATTACATGAAAGACTAGAAAGGAAACTTTGAATCAGGCTTTGAGAGCAAGGATCTTTTCTCAGGGTAGTTGAGATGTCAGTTAACTTGTGATTCTTCTGCCATTCCACAGATGAAGTTAATTCCCAGTTCCTGTATGACATAAGCTACTGAAAAAGGTGTGTTTTCAGGAAGTGGAAAGTAGTCTGTTCAAGAGACACTAAAAGCCTTTGGGCTTTTTTCTACCTTTGCCTTCCACATACCTAGGATTATAGTTGTATGCCACCTCACCCAGCCTTTTACTCTTGTCATAAATAAAATATATTTGTTGGCCTTTTCTTGGTAGCAGTTAGTTTGGGATAGTCATCATGAATGTGGACTATAGTTTTAGCTAGAGGTAATATATAGCTTAAGGACAAGTGGTTAGTTTGTCCCTATTTGATAAGTTGGGACTGATTTCAAGGTTAAAGCATCCATTGGATGTCTGACTTGCTGGGCTGTCTCCAGCGTAACACTCAGTTGTCTTTAGGAAATATTGGATTCTTGCTGTTACATATGCAGTCATGTATATACCTGGACCCATAAAAAGGAAAGGCTCATGTTTATTTAGTCTATTGGTTTTTTTTGTTGTTGTTGTTGTTTTTCTTTTTTTTGCCAGTCGTGGGGCCCGAACTCTGGGCCTGGGCGCTGTCCCTCAGCTCTTCAGCTCAAGGCTAGTGCTCTACCACTTGAGCCACAGCACCACTTCCAGCTTTTTTCTGCTTATGTGGTGCTGAGGAGTCGAACCCAGGGCCTCATATGCATGCAAGGCAAGCACTCTACCACTGAACCACCTTCCCAGCCCCTCTATTGTTTTCTTGAGGCAAGGTCTTGTTACATATCCTAGGGTGGCCTAGAAGTTAGAACTCAGTAATTAGTTCAGACAGGCCTGGAACTCAGCTCCTTTTGTCCCAACTTCCTAAGTACTAGGATTATAGGGGTATACTACCCTACATAGCTCAAATACCTATTTCTTAAAATGCCATCGGATTAAGGTGTGGATAGACACATTGTGTGCTTTAGACCTGGGAAAGAGGGACCCTCTGGCCTAGGTCTTATGCTTTGGAGGAGCCTGTGTTGTCCTGCTCTCCCCACATCAACCTTCATGGGACGTGAAACCCAGGGTGCCAAGAAGACCTGTCCCTGAGCTCTCCATCCCAACCCAAGAGAGTAAAATTCCCAGACTAAATCCAAGTGGCATGGGCTTATCTTTCTTCCTGAAGTAGATTTTTCCCTGTGTACCCTCTTGACCTCGATGCAGAGCTTAGATGTGCATGTGGACTGTCCCAAAGAATTCATGTCAGCTCCCTCATGGTCCAGGAAGCAGTTACAAAGAGAACACAAGGAGCCCACTGTAAACCTAGCACCTGACCTTGGTTATTTTTATCAGAAAAGTTTCCCTAGGACTGTATAAAATCAACTTCTGTGACCTATATTAAGCTAGG